GTTACCGTCACAACAACTACAACATCAATCAAACGATTATTGAACCAATTTTCATCCAGAAAATAAAGTACAAAGTAACCGTCTAGTAGTTTTCATTTCAGCTAACTAAACATACATTCAAGTTGTTGTTGTTGTTGGTTATATTATAAATTGAATTGAAATTCTATTTGTTTTATAAAACAAAATTTTAAGCTCAGTATGCGAATGACTGAGAACTCTTCGATTTTATCAACTTTTCTTGTCTTATTTTATGTTTTACAAGTTACAAAATTATCATAATATCGATCATTTTTTTTCTGTGGTCGATTCATTCAAATATCATTAATTCTACAATTTTCATATATAAAATATCGGCCGTTATTGTTGATAGCAACTATTGCAAAGCAATAGAATATTGGTTTCCACGATTATTCTTGCTGTCATTATTGTTTTTCTTTCATTGTATGTTTGTTCAAAGAAAAAAAAATTCTTCTTTCTTTCTCACTACACCATCATCATTATCATCATCATCATCATCATCCATTTTAATTTCAATGATGATTGAAATGAATTTTCATGTTGTTGTTGTCGCTGTTGTTTTTGTTGTTGTCATTGTATGTTCAAATTTTCAGTTGATACTTTTTTTTATATTCTTTTTCATCAAAATATTATGAATGATTGCATGGTTGGATGGATGAATGATTAGATTGAATATTTATAAATAAAACTGTGTATACAATGGAAAAAAATGGATGAGCCTATCAGCTGATGTCACAGTGTGTTGTTTTTTTGTTTTTTTTTTTTGAATTTGGGAATGTAGCATAGGAAAAAAAATTCATACTCTCAATACTAATGATGATGAAACACGTTTGAATTTGAAATTATCAAATATGATAATAATAATTCTGAAAACGAAGAAAAAAAAACTAATCAATCATGATGATGATGATGAAGAAAAAAAAATTTACTCGACATTCGATTGAAAATAATAACAAACATGATGATCAGAAGCGAACCAAAATAAAAAAAAACCAATCAATCAAATCTATTTTACTTGAATCTTTGAATTTCCATGTAAAAATGAATTCTAAATTTAGACATTTTTTTTTTGTTTCACAAAACATATATATGTTTAACCACTTAGCTGACGAATTGTTTTTGAGTGAATTGCATAGAAATTGTTCGGTTTTTTGTTTCGTGCATTATGCCAAAGCGCCGCTCTTCGTGAATATAACGAAGAAATTGCTTGATCGATTAAAAAAAAGTATCTTGTTTCATTATCATCAAATTTGTTACCGAAGAAGAAAAAAAAATCACGTGAAAAGAAAAACAAAATTCATTCAGGCTTAATTATGAAGGCAAATGTGAATGGAAAACCATTTACCGAAAAATATTACACCGACACATCGACATTTTATCCAAATGCCAAAAAAAACTTTGACTACAGAAAATAATTTCCTTTGATATTTAAGATTTTATTCTACTTGATCATATTTTTTCCTTAGAAAAAGCAGCCATTTTAATCATTATTCAGAAGATTTCATTTCATCACATTTGAAATTTCCGAATTTCTTCCTTTGTGATAATGTAAATGTAAATGTAAGAAGCAAAACAAGAAGAAACCAAAGGTTTCATCAATTGTGATTACAAGACAGGCGAAAAGAGCAAAAAAAAACTGTGATCATATCTCATATCCGTGAAGGTTTTTTTTCTTTTTATATGACATGGTTGTATCTAATATTTGTATTATATTCATGTCTATGTATGAGCGTTGGTGGCTTTGAAATTGAATTCTCGATAATGGTGGCTATACACTGAAATTCTGTACCATGAATTGTTTAAAGACGAAGAAAAAGAATAAAATAAAAACGAACATGAATTTCTTTTTCATCTTCGTGTGTCTTATTAACCTAAAAGCTTTTCTCTTGTTCCGTTGTTTTCATCTACTATTACGGATTCGTTTGCTTTTTTATTTTTTTTTTCAAATTTAGGTTTTGTATTTCACATTTTTTAATTCCATGTTTGTCATCAAAATAATAATTAATCACATAGACAGTTATGTAATTATGAATTTGAAATTTTTTTTTTTTTTGTTGAATTTCCTGGTAACCCTGAAACAGAAAAACTTTGGTATTTTTTCATGGAACGAAAAAAAAAATTTATGAACAAATTTTCACTTGCATCATTATTATATTATGGTTTCGTCATTAGCATTTTGATTCTACTGTTTTAATGCTGATGAAATTGTTATTTTTCTAGTGCTAATTGAATTATCAGTCTACGATAATTTGCAACACATTTCATTACATGGTCATGTCGCATATTTGATGCTTTTGTTCGTTTTTAGTAGTATATAACAACGAAATTCGTACCTTTTATTTATGATTAGATGTCCGAAATGTTCTTGATGTTTATTTTATTTTAGTTTTTGACTTTGGTCTTCAACACACACACACACACACATGCACACACGATCCTACTTATGTATTGAAACCGGAAATTCATATTCAATTTTCTTCATTTTAGTCTCTTTCATAGAATTGACCAGAAACAACAACAAATAACGATCAACTTCTTCTACTTTATACTGCTTTTAAGTGCATTTTAGGCAATCGACTTTCTTTTTTTGTTTAACTTATAGTTTTTCTATTAATTATGTTTTTTATCATATTTATCAAAGTTTGATCATTGTTTTCTGTTTTGGCTATGTATTTTTTCTCCCATTATTTGCAAACATTATCACCACCACCATCACCCCCGCCAACAACAACAATAACAAAATACCCGGGCAGCACCAATTTATTCTTTTTCATACATCTTAATCATTAATTTTGAAGAATAATTTCATTTTTGTAAAGAATAAACCATCTTGCCTATATTTTTATTTTGAAAAAAATTCGTTACATTTAATTTTATAGATTGTGAAAACTTATAGATCAACATGAGATTGTATTCGCTATTGATTCAGTTGCCAAATTGAATTTTTTTGTTTAGTTTTGTTTATCAGAATCGAAAAATTGAGGTGTTTTTCAGCACTAAAATTATCGAAAATAGATGGACAAACATGTTTTTTTTTTGTTATTGTTGTTACTTTACAAAAATTTGATTAACAATAAATTAAATTTTTTTTCTTTATTTGTCCAAAAATAAATTTCGAACATTGCCATCAACATCAGTGTTTATGCTTCAAGCTGTTTTTATAAAAAGCCATAATTTATAGAAAGCGGGATAAAAAAATCATTTCTACATTATTGTTTTCAATTGTTATCACCCTTTTTTTTTGGTAAAGGTAATTGTTCAACCAAACAATAAACACGAAACATTTTTTCCTTTGTCGATTATCATCATCATCACCATCATCGCCTAATGGAATTCTTGTTTCTTTATATTTGACTTTTGTTTCTGATTGTTAGGGCCAATGATATTTTTTATTTTACATAAGAGCATCATTTATTGATCCGATTTTCTTTATTCCATCATAACAATAATAATAAGGATCATATTATTCATTCACAGGTTCGTGAAGATTTTTTGTAATGTTAATCTCATTTTGTATTTGTTATTTGATCATAAATGTTTAAGTTCATATTATTTTTTTTTTCACTGCGTATATATAATGCCAAAATGTTTTGCTCTTTCTCTTCTTCATCTTTTGCAAGTTTTAACAGTTTGTATGATAACATAACTTGGTAACCAAAGTGACAATACCCACTATTACTTTTTGATCAATTGTTAGTTGTTGCCCATTCAAGTATTGTATGTGTTTGTGTGTGTGTGTGTGTGTTGGTGTCATTGTTAATCTTCATTGATTCTGGTCTTTGAGTATGATCTGATCGTTTGTTGTTTGGCTTATTATTATTATTTTCTTCTTTGTTTCAATTGCGTGTGGGTTTGTAATCTGTAATTAAATTTAGGACAAAACCGTACAATTCATCATTGATAAAACTTTTTTTTTATGGATCATTGTTACAATTAATTCGCATATATACATCACAAACACACACACTCATCATGTCATATAGGAAACAAATATAACAGAAAGTGAAACAAAAAACAAAACAAAAAAAAAACATGATCAAAACATTGATTCAAATTAATGTCTAAAGCATCTGCTATTTGTTATTTTATTTTATTTTTTCTATAGTTACTGATTCATTCAATTTTCTGCATTTGATTTTTGATTTCAAATATTCAATCAATTGATAAATAATTTCTAATAATAATAATAATGAAAAAAAAACGTAAAAATAAACCATTTGATGCGTAATATAATCAATGATGACAAAACAATCAAGCATCTGTTTTTGATGATGATGATGATTACATCTTCTATCTACTACTATATATATAAATTATTATTCATTTATTGAAAACATTTGGAAAACAAAACATTTTCATGATTCTATTTGATTGAAATAATAATAATAATAAAAAAAGACTGAATTTATATATATATATAGAATGAATGAAGATTTGAAATTGAAGATATATATTATCATTATTATGGATATGGTTCAAAAAAGTTTTATTCTTCACTGTATATCAGCGGATACAATTGGAAAAGATCAATTGTTTTTTTTTTGATTTTATGCTCTCGATCTAATCATTATGATGCCTCTATCATCATCATCATCATCATTATCATTAATATAATCACATTGTCAATCAATGCTGGTCGCTATTGATGATGTTATATATATTATGATTACGTGGATATGTTATGTATGTGGATTCTCAATCAACCATAAATTAAAAAAAAATTGATACGATACTACCACCACCATCATCATCATTCAAAATTATCTGATATAGCCTGATTTCTTTTTATAGCAAATTGTTTGCCTCTTTGTTATTAATACAATAGTCATGTGTGTGTGTGTTGTATGTGTATTGTAGACAAGAAAAAAAAATTATGCTGGTGGTGGTTATATTTGTACGGGTCGTCGATTGTTTATTGCAAAAATGTAGGTAGCCCCCTAAAAACAAAATTAAAAAAAAACTTTTCCCATTCAAACCACACACACATATGTGCACACGTGTATATTTTTTTTTGATTGAAAATAATATTTTGTTCATAATTCTTTATAATCATCTGGTGTTCAAGATTTGTTTTGTTTTCAATAGAATCATAATCAAAATAATATTGTCGTGTGTGTTTTTTTGAAACAGGGCAATAAATCTTCATTGACAACATTATTGATACGATAAAAACATTGAATTGTTTGCACACTTTAATATTGTGAATGTATGAATCATAATATATAAATGTAGTTGGTGACAAAATTATATACTAAACTATTTCTTTTGTTTTTCTTTTCTTATATTTTTATTTTATTTTAGCATTCAGGATTTGGTATTACTGTGAAACAGGCAAAAAAAAAAAAAAAAAAAGAATTACGACCAACGATAACTATTTGTTTTGGCCAAATTGTTGAATCATTATTATATTTTCGCATACCCCGAATCAAAACTAAATTCATCAGTCTTTTTTTCTCGTTGTTTTTCAATATATTTACTTTTTTTTTTTGAATAGATGCCACCTATTTTGCATTTATTGTATTGAAAAAAACCATCGAAATTATTATAATTTGTTTTTATTTATTCAATTCAACAACATTTTCATCATAAAGAGCTGCGGAAATAACACTTCAAGACAATTATTATTGTGACCATCTTATTTTGTTTTCGTGCGCGCGTATGCGTTTGTGTGTATGTGCCTAAGAAGATTTTGAAAAAATCAAACAAAACAAAACAAAACAAAAATGACGGTTTTTCGTCGATTTGGGCTTCGAAGAAGCTTAACACGTCTGTTAATATTTCTTTGCATAACCTGGGTATTATTTGTGTTAATGTATTCATATCATGGCCATACTAATTCACAAACATATGCCAATTCATATGAAGATTTATCATCAAATATTAATAATATACAACAACAACAACAAGCAGCAGCAATTGCCGCTAGGCTAAGATCATCTCGACAACAGGATGAAGATGCATCCGATGATTATGCAAATCGAATCGATTCTCATTCACATAATAATAATAATAATAATAATCGTATAGTCGAAATTAAAAATGATCCAAAAAGAAATGGTGGTAAACATAAATATCATAAAAAGGTATGATGTTGATGATGATGATGATTATATTAAAATAAATTGATATTCATTCATTTATTTTGTTTTTTTACATGTAAATTGAAAAACAATTTTTCAGCCAAATGATGTGCCAAACTTAGATGCTGTGATACCACTTCCTTTTGATAGCTCCATTGGTTTCGGTGAAAATGGCCGTCCAGTAATATTACCTGTATGTAATGTTAAAATTTTCAAATTATCATTTAAATTAATAATATTTTTCCATTGTTACATTAGAAAAATGTTAGCAAAGAAATACAAAAATTGATTGATCAAGGTTGGAAAGATAATGCATTCAATCAATACATCAGTGATCTCATGTCGTTACATCGTTCACTGCCAGATGTTCGCGATCCAAGGTTAGTTTGACATTCAATAATCATGGTGATGATAAACAATCGAATTTGCGTAAACACATTTGAATCATCAATAATTTTTTTATTCATTTAAAATTCATAATTTCATCCAGATGCAAATCTGTCGTATATGAAAAAAAATTGTCACCTACAAGTGTCATCATTTGTTTTCACAATGAAGCCTGGTCAGTATTACTTCGAACTGTACATTCCGTATTGGATAGATCTCCTCCTGAACTAATCAAAGAAATCATTTTGGTCGATGATTTTTCCGACAAAGGTTTGTGTTGTTAACCTTTATTGATAAGTTTTAAATTATCTTCTTTTTTCCTTCAAAAATATTAGAATACCTTGGACAAAAACTTGATGATTATGCTGAAAGATTGGAAAAATTAAAGATAGTAAGGGCCAAAAAACGTGAAGGATTGATTAGAGCACGATTACTTGGAGCAGCCGCGGCTACTGCACCAGTTTTAACATATCTAGATTCACATTGTGAATGTGCTGAAGGATGGCTAGAACCATTACTTGATAGAATTGCAAAAAGTCCTTCAGCGGTCGTCTGTCCAGTTATTGATGTAATCAATGATTCTACTTTTGAATATCATTATAATCCTGATGCAAGTGCATTGAATGTTGGTGGATTCGATTGGAATCTACAATTCAATTGGCATGCCGTTCCTTTTCGTGAACGTAAACGTCATAAAACTCCTGTCGAACCAGTTTATTCACCAACCATGGCCGGTGGTCTTTTTTCTATTGATAAGAATTTTTTTGAAAAGCTTGGCACTTATGATAATGGTTTTGATATATGGGGTGGTGAAAATCTAGAAATATCATTCAAAAGTTGGATGTGTGGTGGAACATTGGAAATTGTTCCATGTTCACATGTTGGCCATGTTTTTCGATCTCGTTCGCCTTATAAAGTTTGTGTTTAAAACCTAAAAATGCTTCATTTGTCATGTTTGTTTATTCAATCATCTTTTTTTTTCTTTTTCTTTCCCTTCCTGAATAGTGGAGATCTGGCGTAAACGTTTTGAAAAGAAATTCAATTCGATTGGCTGAAGTTTGGATGGATGATTACAAGAAATACTATTACGATCGTATCGGTAATGATTTGGTAAGAGATCAATGCTGTTTGGATAGGAAGAAAAAAAATTGTTTTCGTTTATTTAAACATTATCTCTATTTGGAATTTTTTTTCAGGGAGATTATGGCGATGTATCATCAAGAAAGGCTTTACGAGAAAAACTTCATTGCAAAAGTTTTGATTGGTACATCAAGAATATCTATCCAGAGCTTTTTGTGCCTGGCGATGCTATCGCTTCTGGAGAAGTAATTTCTTTTCAATTTGATCACTATAAAGCGAATAACTGAATTGTATATGTTTTCATTCTGCTCATAATTTTTCTGTACAGATTCGTAATCATGGCAGCCCTGAATACCAGATGTGTATCGATAGCCCAGCTAAACGATCCGATTTACACAAACCATTGGGCCTTTATCCATGCCATAAACAAGGAGGCAATCAAGTAAATGAATTAGATCTTTTGGCTTTGTGCTGTTCCGTCACCCGAAAACTTATTTTTGTTTTTTTTGATAATTCCAATTTATTATTTTTTTTTTTTGTTCGCCCTTATTTGTTTTGTTTCTGTAATAGTATTGGCTTTATAGCAAAATTGGTGAAATTCGTCGTGATGAAGCGTGCGTGGATTATGCCGGACGTGATGTCATTTTATATCCTTGTCATGGTTCAAAAGGAAATCAGTATTGGGCTTACAATCATGAGGTTTGTAGAAGATATATTGTTTTCTTTTAATATAATTTGACATTGTGTTTCTTTTCTCATTTGTTGATTTAATTTATTTATATTCATTTATTTTCACTGTATTTTTATAGCTAAAACAAATAAAACACGTTATTACTGGCAGATGTTTGCAAATGGCATCGACAAAAGATCGTCTTTTAGTACATGATTGTAATCCAACAAACAAATTACAACAATGGACATTTTCCGATTATAATTCTTCAAAAATGGAAAACATACAGGATGATGTAGATGATGTTGTTGATGAACAATAATCAATAAATAATAATGATTTTGGCAAACTAACCGACATACAAACTAACAAAAAAAATGATAATGATCAGACCTATACACTGATCAATAATAATAATAACAATAACAACAATAACTTTTCCACCTTCGATCGATTTTCTTCGTGGCTATCTATTTTGATCATCTCTATTATTATTATTATTATTTTTTTTTTGAAAAAATGTATCATTTCAATATCATATTTTTCATTCTGTTTCTGATAATTTTTTTTCTTTTTTTTTTGAACAAAAAAAAATAGAAAATGTGATTCGTCAATTGTGCTCTCTATCTCGCTTTTTTTCACTTTTTTTTTTGCTTTTATTTCTCTGTCTCTCTCTATGTTGATCTATCTCATCTTATATATTTGTATTATAATTGAATATTTTTCTATACATTTTAGCCTACACACAAATACACACATACGAAACACACAAAATACATTTCACAAGTTATGAAAAAAAAAAAATTTATTGTATGTTATAATATGTCATCATAAATGTCAAATCATTTTTTTTCTCTTCTCATTTTGTTTTTTTTTTAATTTTCACTTTTACCGGTGCAATATAATATAATATAATCGATATTGATATTGGAATTGTTCTGCCAAACAAACAAACAAACAAAAAAAAATATACACACACATACACACAAAATCAGAACCGACAGAAGCACCTGTAAATAAACAAAGATACATACGTAAAAAGTATACGAAATCAGTAAGAATTTTTTTTCTCTAATTTATTTTTCTATAACAAAAAAAAATGGATTTATCACACATGCACAAACACATTACAATATCATTCCTATAGGTTTTTTTGGAATGGAATTCAACTCTGAAAATTTAAATGATATAAAAAATGATTCTCATTAAAAAAAATGCTGATGAATTATAGTTGCAAATTGTCTTCATTCTTTCCAATTAAATGATTTGAGTTTCCCTCATAAAAATTCAATAAGTTGCTTGGCTCTTGAGATTAGTTATTGAAAAGTTTATCATTATTATATGATGATGAGGAACTTTTAGTTGAAAATAATCATCAATTTTTGGAATGAAAATTTTCTAAAAATTACCACTTATCAGATTGTAATTTTATCCCATAATAATTGAATACCAAATCGAGTTTTTTTTATAACTAACTTTCAAGTAGTGCACAAAAACAAGTACCATCAACTCATAATCTAATTGATTGAATCAGTTTTATCTTCAAAACTATTAATCAATCGATCAATATATAAAGCCAATGGTTGGATTATTGTTTCGTATTCATTTCTTTATCATCAGTCAAAATGTACAAATTTACATTAATTGCAATTGTTTTTAATTTTTGTCTCATTAGTTCATCCAGAGCGGATGAGGAATTTGCACCAATTGTCAATCTTCGTCATGGTAAAGTACGTGGACTTGTTCGAACTGTAATCGATGGTGATAAAAAAACAAAAATTTATTTTTACCAAGGTTTTCGTTATGGTATGATGAATTTACGAGATTTTATTTTATCCTAATGCTCATTTTATTTCATTTTATTCAAAGGTCACGCAAATCGTTTTGAGAAGCCTACAATGGTTACATCATGGCCTGGTGACATTTACAATGCCACAAAATTAGGCAATTCATGCATACAATTCGGTGATCAATTCCTTCAAAATGCAACTAGTGAAAGTGAAGATTGTCTTTTTCTAAATGTTTATAAACCGGTCACAAATAATGAAAAACTATTGCCAGTAATGGTTTGGATTCATGGCGGTGGTTTTCAGATTGGTTCGATATTTTATTCATTTTATGATGCTTCTTTTTTAGCATCTTATGGTGAAGTTATTGTTGTTTCCATAAATTATCGTCTTGGACCATTTGGATTTTTATATGGTGGTAACAGCGATGCTCCTGGAAATGTCGGTTTTCATGATCAACTTCTTGGGTTGAAATGGGTTCAAGAAAATATCAAAAATTTCGGTGGTGACCCTAATAAAGTGACAATTTTTGGTGAATCTGCTGGATCAATGTCTGTATCAGCATTGGTTCAATCACCATTAGCAAAAAATCTATTCACTAGAGCTATAATGCAATCTGGTGCTGGAGCAAACTTTTTATTCGATAACAAAAACTGCTTTAACAAAAACAATCAAACTTTCCGAAAAAGTGAATTGCAAAAAAGAAGATATCGAACAAACGATAGCCTGTTTGAAAACCAAATCTATCGAAGAGATAAAAAAATCTTTACCATCTATGACTGAAGATGTGATGTTTCGAAAATCGTTTACACCAATATTTGGTGATGAAGTTTTGCCAAATGATGCGATTCTTTACAAAAATTATTTTAACCGTGTAGATGTGATTTTCGGTAACACTCATGATGAAGGAAGCTTGTTTGCAATGTTGTATTTACCAGAATTAATGAATGATAACAATACTTTCACAATGGGAAAAATCCATGAAATGATATCAAACCTTGTGGATAAGATGGAATTGAAAAAATCGAATGAAGTTATTAGTTATTACACAAAAACATTGAATGTATCAAATCTGAATGAAGTCCGGTAAGTGTTATGATTTGAGTGATAATTAGCGTTTTTAAATATTTTGTTTTAATCATACAGAAAAGTTTTTGGGGATATTATTGGAGATTGTAGTTTGCTATGTCCTACAATGCTTTTTGGCCAAAGAATTGCTCGTGATTCGAATTTTGCGAACACTTTCTATTCATATCGTTTAGACAGACGAGCAGTTGCTTCTCTTGCAATGGGATGTCCGTTCGAATGGATGGGCGTATGTCATGGAGAAGATGTAATGTACTTGTTCAATAATCCAGCATTAAAAAGCTCTCCGGTAGATATCAAATTAAGTCGTGAAATGATAACAGCATGGACAAATTTTGCTAAAACCGGTCATCCTGGAAAAATCGGATCAATTGAATGGCGACAAGTATATGAGAATGGACAGAAAACCTCACCATCAGTTATGTTATTAGATGATAAATCAAAAATGGCTGAAGGAATTTTCAAAGATTTATGTGATGGATTCTGGCAAAAAATATATGAATCTATAAACTAAATATTTGTCTTCAAGATGGCAGTACAGACGTAACAAAAAAAACAAACATTTTAATTTTTATTTTAAAACTAATTATCCGGCCGTAAGATGGCGACACAAAAAGAAAACATGAATTTTCAATTTGTAGAATTTATGGAATTCAGATTTATAAATTCAAATTAATCGTACTTTTCAAAGTGTTGTTCATAAATGATAACTTTAATTGAAAATCAAAAAAAAAGAAAAGAAAATATCACATCGATAAAATCATAGTTTGTAAAACCGAAAAAAAAATAATTTTACTAAAAACGAAAGTTACGTATTGTTTTTGCAAGCTTGTTTTTCTTCATATCCACAAGAATCGATACCATTCATATGAACTGCAGATGAACTGAAATTTTTCGTATGATCTGATCATATATTGACAATTCCCTTTTTTTAAAGAAAAAAAAATCTCCATCCATTGAATGTTGTGTTTATGTTTTGTTTTTTTTCAGTTTGTTTATTAATTAATGAAGAGAAACGCTAATATCACTATTTTTAAGGAAATTGTTTTGTTGTTTGGTTTAATACCGATAATAATATGCATTCACAAGAAGAAGAAATTGGGTAGAGAAAAGTATAAACCCAAAGAAAAAGGGAAGAAAAAAATCGATCAATCAATAATTTTCGAATGAAAATTTCTCTTTTTGTGTGTTTGGATGTTTGATGTAGAAGTGTTTGTGTGTGCGTGTGTGTGTGGTAAGTATGCATGACATTCTCTCTTTTTTTTGTATATGTTGTGTAAAGAATAGATGATAGCCAAGAATTTCTTTTTTTTCTGTTATATTTGATGATCAAACATGGAGAATCGAAGTTTCGATTAGCGTTTAACGTAGTCCTGTGATGCTCAGAAAACCACTATGTATGTAGAGTTACAAAACGACAACAACAAAAAATCATCAGTTTGAAGTTTGCATTCTTCGTCGATTAGTGGTTACAAATGAAGCAGTTGTCTCAGAAACCGGTAAGAAAGCTGATTGAAAACTTGGTTTCAATTTGAATTGTTTCATATTGGAATCATGATAATGTTGGGAATGCTGCTGTTGTCTAAGTTCAATGAATAAATTTTCAGCAATTGTTGAACCCCTATTTGTGGGATATTTATTTTCGTATTCATAAAGAAAAAGAGAAAAAAAAATAATTAGAATACTGGAAAAAAGAATCTAAAATATTGAAACAAACCATCCATCTGATTGAGTTGGCTGATATAATTTTGGCTTATTTTTCGTTCTAGGTTCTTTCGTTTCAAATACATTATCGACAATATCCGATGATATCATTTTAGGACTGGGCAACATTTGTGATGAAAAATTTTGTTTATTATTAACAATTTTTGCACATTTACTATTGGTGGTAATCGTATTATGCTGTCCGTGTTGTGTTTCAATTGAAAAATCGACAGATTCAATTGATGAATCGGCTTTTTTATTATTGTTATTGAAATTCAACTGAACATTATTATTGTTCTTGATGATATTTATCGATGATTCTTTATCGGGAAACCATTGATCAATATCGGTCTCATCCAGGACTCGTTTATTTGTAGATATGAATCTATTTGTTGGTAATGCCAATGAATGATCAATGGACAATGATCCAGTATCATTATTATTATTGTTGGCCAAAATCAATGGTGGTGGTTGCTCATCATCTACATCATCACATAGAAAAGGCATACAAGATTGATCAAGCGACCATTCTTGCCAGCAATCAATTTGGGCAATAGTTGATAAACTTCCGGTTGGACTAGATCCAAAATCAACAGGATATGATGACAATGATGATGATGATGATGTTGAGGAATCAATGGCATCAGCATCATCATCATCATCATCAGCAGCAGCAGCAGCAGCTATCAACAATTCAGTTACTGGTGCACGTCTACCACCATTCGTTACTATTGTAGACATTGGCTGATGTATTTTATCATCATCATCAGCATCACCATCACCATTATCATTATTTTTTTCACACTCAATTTGATTCTTTTCCATTAATTCGGCAATTTCCTATGAAATAATGAAAGACAGAACAAAAAATCGAAACAAGCAAAAAAAAAAGAAAGAAAGAAAAAAATTATTAGTCAAATATAGCCTATTATGATGAAAAACTATTGTCATCATCATCATTATTATTATACAAAACAAATAATGAAAAAAAACAAGACTCCATAATTAAAGAATTGAAATCAAATAGAAAAAAAATTGAAAAAAATAACAGATCACATTTACGATATATAAGAACAAATTGAATCATCAAATAATAAAGCAAAAAAAAAAAAAAAAACTAATGATTTTAATAGAATGGATGGATGCAGAATAAAAACGAATCAATAAATTCATTCTCAATGAACTTTATTTTATAAAGGCATCATTCACTATTAATCAATGAATGAATGAATGAACGAAAAGTTAGTTAATTCACGAAAAAAAAAATTATTATTATCGCTTATTCGATTACAAATTTATGAAAGATAGATTGGAGCTGTTATATAATATAGTTGGTATCTGTGTGTGGGTACAATCGAATTATTTATATACTCAAGTCAAACAAAGTCATTCATAGTTGACCGATTCCAAAAGTATGATGATTATGATGCGGCCAAGAAATTAATGTGCAAATCAAAAGAAAGAGAATCAAGAATCACATCAATTCTAGAGAGAGATAAAGATATGAAAGACAAAGTTGAAACGTTTTCATAATTTAATGATAAATTTTAATAATAATGTGTGGTTCATTATTTCTAGCTACACAATATATATTCGAATACAATAATAATCATATTATGGAAAAAAAAGAAACAAGGATTTATACAGTAATTGTTTTCTACAAAGAAAAAAAACGCTTTTAATCATTTTCATTTCATATGTCATACTACTGTATGATTATTTGAGACAAATAATCAGAATCTATCTAACATAAAAGAGATACTGAAATGAATGAGAGAAAATTTGTTTTGTTTTTTTTATGTTACAATATCAATCGCATAATTATCATGGTCATAAGATCATCAACGAAGACGATATATATTGACATAACCATTTTCCATTCATTCATTATATGAAGACTTGATGATGATGTAATATTCGAGATGACAATTCATTGTTTTCTATTTTGTTAAGAATTTAATCACCAAAAATAGTCAATTTGATGAACATGAACATGAGAAAAAAATGGCCAAATTTGTAATAATAAAGTGGAAACATAAATACCAAAACTAAAAGAGGTCTTATTTTTTTTTTGTGGGCGAGGGTGATGAAAACGAAAATAAAATAAATGCGAAACATTATTTTGTCAAGCTTTGTTGTATATTTATATTGATAATAACAATACTGATGTTGACAACAACGATAATAATAAATAATTAAATGGTAACGAAAGAAGAAGATAAGCGAACCAAAGAAAAAACAAAACAAAAAAATCCATATATCCAATATGATGATAAAAATACTGATGACAATAAAACAATCTGATCACAATTTAGCCTTCTTAATGATTAATTGACTCATCATTAAAACTGATAATTTATTTATTTATTTTTTCCTTTCTATTTTTCATTCATCCATGTTCAGTTTATGGTTATGGTTTTCGTTTTTGTTTACATCTTCTTGATCTTGTTATATGCCAGATTTGATTTCATGACAAAAACAAAGGTGAAAAAAAAGGTTTAATGATGCTCTGGTTGTTTTTTTTTTTTTTCCATACTGAAATTTTCTATACAAACAATAAATGAATGAATCAATAAAATGATTGATGTGGACAGTTAGTATATATATTTTTATTATTATTATTATTTCATCTTGACAACATTTTAATAGCATAGAGAAAAAATGGGGCCAAATTGACAGCAAATGGATATATAATGATATTAAAGTCTTAGTGTTTGGTCCGTATATATATATTATATATGGATGGATGGATGGATGGTTGGATATATTGAAATGGATAGTGAAGGCCAATCGGTGGTAATATATATTCGATATATATACATTAATATGGATCGAATATAATAGTAGACTATCAATTTTGAAGCAACAAAAAAAAAAGAATGAAAGTTTTCTTTCTTTTTTTTTTGGCTGTTTCAGGAAGAGCAAGCTATTTTTCCCCTTGTACACACACGCACACACACATAAACAAATTGTTTGAATCGGCGCTATAGTCAAATAGGATAAAAAAAAAACTTCTACATAAATATAAGGGAAAAAGTAAAGATAAAATAAACTACGATAAAAAAAATGTGTAAAATTATTAAAAAACAACAACAACAACAACAACGAAAATTGTCTGAAAAAATATATCAATTTTATGATGATAATGATAATAATTTGAAAAAAAAAATAAAAAAGATGAATTAATGAACGCGAGACATAACTAATGAACAAACAAACAAACAAAAAACCTCAAAGCAAATCTCCAAAGTAATTAAGTTAATTAATATTGATGAAAATCTTCAATTGTAAATGTGATGTGAACAATAACAACAACAACAGCTGCAACTGATGCTAAAACTGCAATGATAGAACATCGGTAGTTTTTTTTCTTCTCTCGCAAAAACAATGATAATAATAATGACAACGCGCAACAACAACAACAACAACAATGACCAACAACAAAACCGCGGCCATTGGTCACCAATGGTTATTCTTGGTGTTGGTTTTTTTGTTGTTAGAATCTTCTTCTTTTTTTTGAATTCCTATTCAATTTATATTTGTGGTGTGTGTATGTATGTCTCTTTTTTTTATTTTTCATTTCATCTAATTCTTCAAGTGTTCTATATCCACAGCAAAAAAAAAAATACAGAGAAAGATAGTAGATTCTATATGCCAAACGGAAAAATGAGAATGAAAATTATCTATTGTCATAATAAATCATTTGTTCTTCATTTGTTTCTATCTATGAGTATACGAAATACGATTGTCATATTGTTACAATTGTATATTTATATCTATTTTATATTTACAATCATAGACCATGGTTTGGTCAAAGAATAAGAAAAAAAAGTTGCGAATATAAAAATTGGCAGCCAAAAAAAAAGAAGAAAAGAAAATCTTCTTCGTAATATGAAAAAAAAAAATCCACTAGAATTCCTCTACACTTGAATACATTCTATGAAATGAAATCAAATAATTTTAAATGGAAATAATTCAAACAAACCCAGAAATAACAAACAAAAATAGAGTGAAAGCAAAACACTCGAACACAAAAACACATCACTCAAACGGAATTAAACTCAGAAATGATTTGGTCAGTAAATAAATCATTAAAACAATGTGTCAACACTATACACAAGATACAATTATAATGATAATCATCATTCTAATATATGAATGAAATGAACAAAACAAACCTGATTAAATTCTTCCACAGAATTGGATGATATAAACATATTATTTGCATTCATTGGTTTAGTATGATGCGATAATTGTTGTTGCATATGACGATTATGAGAATGAAAAAGATGGTGATGATTATGATGATCAGAATCCATTGGTTGTTGTTGATGATAGGCGCCAAAAAATCCAAATAATTGTTGATTTGTTTTTTGTATTGGTTTTGGTATTGAAATTGGCATCGATTTCTGTATCATCATTGTATTATCATCACCATCTAAATCATTTCCATCTGACAACTTGTGATTATCGTCATCATCATCATATTTAACAATTCGTTCATTTGCAATGGATACGGATTCTGTTAATAAGGATAAAAATAATTATTAATTTCAATAATGTTAAAAAAAATTGAAAAACATTCGAGGAAAACGAAATTCTATACAATATTCTTTTGTTCATCATCATTGTCACTAAAATCTATCCATATATGCAGAATAGTTCCAACAGGAAAAGAAAAAAAAAAAACAGGAAAGAATTAGGTTTCATGTGAAAAAGCTATTATTATCATTATTTGTATGTTTTATATATTATGGTATTAATAATAATAATAATAATATATTAGCCATTTGTATATGTTTTTTTTTGTTGTTGTTGTTGTTGTTGGAGCTCAACATGATACTTTACATGCTGTTACAAACACATTAAAAACATGAACATGGAATAACGTTAAGAATAAAAAAAAATGATACATACATTCGATACAAAATATACAAGAATATAGAGAAACATTGCTTGCACATTTGACAATGTCCAATATACAGATGAAGATTGAACATTGTTTTATTGTTGTCATTGTTGTTCATGTTCATTGGTCGTTCAATTATAATATTATGTGCGTGTTTGTGTTTTTCTATCTTCATCTATCTACAGCCCTTCCCAAACTGTGGTCTGCGACCTAGAATCGGCCAGCGATAAAAAATTTAAAATTTTTTTTTTTTTTGCTTAATTAAAATTTGAATTTCTCTTGACCGAAATGTCCAATCACTAATTTATATTATTTTTGTTTTTTTGTTAAAAAAATGATAAAAAAAATTTTTTACTGCTAACACTGATCACCGACCGAAAAAAAGTTTTTAAAACGCTGTTCTATGAGATCAAAGCTTTTTTTCCCATAATTTGTAATTTAATAAATTGACAAGCTTCTCAATGGAGACAAATAAGCAAAAGTAAAGGAGACAAAGGGAAAAAAATGAAGCCATTCACAAACAACACATACCTTGTTTAGAATAATTAATTGAATTGTCATTTTGTCCAAAATGGTAATGGCCATTTTTTGTACCATTCATAATGTTGTCTGATGATTCGATTTTGTTGCAAATATTTACATCATATGAATTTTGTTGTCGTTGATGCCATGCAGAAAGTATTGTTGATGTTGATCTATCATGAGTACGTGTTACGCTTGACTTGTTGGCCAATGTTTTTATTGTTGTTGATGATGATGATGATGATGATGATGGTGATGATGATAATAAAACCCTATCCATCGATGTATTGGCTATTTTGTCGCCACTCAATTTGGATAACAATGAATAGTTTGAGTCATAAAAACGATTGCCATTATCATTTGGCTGCTGTATTGAATGTAATATTGGTTTCTTACAAATCGATGATGATGCACCATTGTTCATAAAATCATCATCAGCATTATTATTATTATTCTGTTGTATTGATGCAATGTTGTTTGTGGACATCATCATCAGAAATTCGGTTCCACATTTTCTAGCCAAATTGACAACATTATTATTTGATGAATAATTCCATACTCGATTCGAATCATCACTATTGTAGATATTTTCATTATAATTATTGTTGTTGTTTAAATTCATTGTAATCAACTTTGGCCTAAGTTGATCAATTTTTTGTAAATTAAATAAATTTGGATCATTTTCTTGATTGTCAACAACATCATCAACAATAACTCTATTCGTTGGATTTGTTGAATTTATTTGATGACTATTGGACAATACATGACAACTTGATTCATTGTCATCATTCATAGTATTGTGGTTGAAACTATCACGATGATTATTATTATCGGAATGATCAATATCTATTGTTGAAGCTGGGAAATCACTAACGACACGTGGTTCTTTATCATATTCAATATGATCATGATGATAATCATTATTGTCACGATTATGACTATTTCCATTCGATACGACGACAACGGCAACATCAGCATTCTTGTTTGAATCATTGTTTTGTCCATGATAATTCTTTTTCTCATGCACATGAATAGCGTTATTACTATTATTGGTCATTGTTAGTCCAACAAAATTTAATCTTGATAAATTAGTGTTGTTGTTGTTCGATGGTAATTTAGCAATAGTAAAAAGTTGTTGTTGTTGTTGTTGCTGCTGCTGCTGCTGCTGACTATTAAAATGATTCCAATGACGTTGTATAAAAGTTTCATTGATTGTCATTGCTTTTTGTCGTTGTAGTTGATATTGATGAATCAAATCGTTTTTTCCATTACCATTGTCATAGTCATAATCATTATCATTAATATTATCAAAAGCATTGGTTGATTGATGCTCATTATGATTAAATGTACGATCAACGTATTCTTCTATAGACGATCGTTGTAGACCGCAATTTTGTTGTCGGTGACGATTATTCGATTTGCAAACATCACTACTACAAATTCTATAAATCGCATTACTGTTATAATCATCATCATCATCATCATCATCAGCAAAAACATGACTATCGTCGTCGTCCATTAAACCATTTCTACCATCCGTATTACTAAAAGCAAAACAATTTCGATGATTCAATTTTGCATTCAATTCTGGTTGGATATTATCAGGAATCTCATCATCGTACATGGTGTCGTTATTACTGATCAATGTTATACGATGACAATGTTGATTTGAATTCTTTTTACAGTATTATAATAATAGAAGAATGGAACAGTAGTAAAAGTAATGACCATACGCACACACAGAGTCATGATAATAATGGTGATGACGGCATTTGATGATTATGATGATTTATACATATATAAATTTGAAATAGAAAACAGGAAAAGAAATGAAAAAAAGCAGGACATTAGTAAGTCAAATATAAAACGAAAATACAACAACAACAACAACAACAACAACAAAAATCGAAAATCAAATCGAAAACTAACCAATTTAGTTTTTGTCGCCAGCATAGTTGTCGTATGATGATGATCATCATCACTAACACCAGGCATTCGTATGTCTTTTAGCTCATCATCATTTTCACCATGTTTCATTTCATTCACATTGATTACATGTTCTATATTCACATTATTGGTATCGATAATGGAATCATAGTTAGTGGCCAAGAACTGTTTCGATGATAATTCCAATGAATTCTGTATATACAATGATCATATAAATTAGTTTTAATGATATAACAAATGGGAAAATTGAAATGGAATAAAAGAATTCAAAATGATGATGACCTCAAATGAGAGGACATAATCAGAAAAAAACGAGTAACCAGAAATCACAGGATATATAAATTTTTTTTTTAATCAAATGGATAACAAAGTTTTTTTTTGAAATTTTTCCTGGGCCATAGATTTTCACTTTTTTTTCATTCAATACTTAATCGTTTGATTAATGGGCCATATATATAAAATGAACGGTATTTTTTAACTTGAATCGGGAAAAAGAGAGATATAGGCGGCTAGGCAAAAACCCAGTGAAAAAGAGATGAGATTTTCAATCATCATTAACGACCGTGGATCAAACTAATAAAATTGGGATCAACTCTTCTTCGCATTGCTTTTCATTTCGATTTTTTTTCAAATTTCAAAATTTAGGTTTCCTATAAAGCTAATGCCCTGCTGATCCAACGATGAAAACAACGACAACAAAAATATATTATGAAAATACACACACATACACGGATTCACACTTTCGATGAAAACAAGGTCGTTGTAAACCAGATTTTTTTCAACTAAAAAAGAAAATTGAAAAAAACCAAAAAAGGAATGGCGACATAATAAGACTTGAAAGTGAAAATAGTGAAAAGTAATGAAATTTTTTCTTGAAAATTAATTGAGGATAAAGACGCTTTTCATGTCAGTTTATCTTTTGTGAAAAAGACTCTTATATTGTACTATCTGGTTATATTGTATTTACGATTTTTCTTTTTCTTAGGAATTTGAAGATAATGGCTCCATTTTATCAGCAAACAACAGCACCGTTATTTTTTTCTTTGTTTAATTTTTTATTTATCGTCGTCTTACAAAAGATTTACAACTTTTACAATTTCATTCATTGAAAAAGATGTGAAAAAAAATAAATTCAATAAAATTTAATCGCTAATGACCAATTATGGATAATCAATTGAATGAATCACTATTTAATGGTTGTGTGTTCACATCAACAACAAATAATTTGATTCAAAAGCAACAAATAATAATAAAACTATATTAATCCGATCTAAAACCGAAACAAAATAACAAAAAAAAAGAAGAAAGAAAGAAAGTGCTAACGTAAAATCAAAAAAATTGGAAATCAAAATTCACTATTGATGAGGAATTATATGAACCAATTTAATAAATGTCAATGGCGACCAAAACACTAATACACATGGATCTATCCGATGGAAGCCACGTGAAAAAAAGTATTGAATATGCGATAAACTTTTCTTTTTTTATATATGTTTCAAATAAAGAAAAAAAATGGCTTTATTTTGAAGAAATTATTCTCAATAGGGAATACACATACTAGACACATATAAGACATTTATTCTGTTATTAATACACACACACATACATATACATTCTGCACTAAAAGAATCTTATAGTGCAATGGGTTAATGTGGTGAACAATCCAAACGTCACGTTCCAATTCTTTTAGCGCCGTTATTTTATTTCTTTTCGTCATCATAATCTATATTGATTTTGGTATATAAGTTATATAACATTATTTGCTATATATATTGTCTATCGTTATCGATAACCAGAAAAAGAAAGAGAGAAAAAAAAAACTTGACCAAAACTCTATGTGTGTCTATATGCTTTGATTAAATTACTCTAATAAAGTTACTAATACATATCAGCATACACACACACACACACACACACATGGATAGAGAGTTGATAACAATAATGGTCGAAATATTAGAGAAAAAACTATGGATCCGTCGATCCATTTATATTTTTTGGATACCATTTCCATTATTATCATCATCATCATCATCATCATTATCATCGTATATTGAGATTGTGAATATATATTGAGATTCAATCAAAATTTCATTTTTTTCGAATCCATTTATGGTTGTTTCTGTGAAATGAGTAGTAAAAGAAAGGAAATCACAATAATAATAATAATAATAATAGAATCTAAAATGATAAAAACGTTAATAACGAGTTGGAGTAGTAGTAGTAATAGTAGTAAGTGAAGATAAAAAAAAATTATTGAAAAAGTAATGTTTGTTCATCAACTCATTCTCAATGGCAGAATAATGGTAATCAAGATAATGATGATAATGTTATAACCAGAATCAAAGAATGATTTTGAAATTAAATTAATTCACCAATACAGAATACTCGCTATTGAAAAAATCTAGACAAAAGAATCAAGAATAAAACCAAATGTTTTTTGTCAATGTCTCAATGGCCTTTAGTACATTTCTATATTTAACTTTGAATCAATATATATCAAATTATTTGGTACTTTTATTTTTCTTTTTAAAAAAAATTTTATTTTAGTTGATTATATTACATAATAATAATATTGTTATCTGCAATATCTCTTTAGCCGCTGGTAAAATTTTATTTTATTTTATTTTTCGAAATTTCAATTGATATATCAAAACAGGATTTGACAGTCAAACAAATATTCATGTTTGAAATGGAAAAAAAGGATATACAAGTGTCCTTCACAAAAAAAAATATATTCTAACTGAAAATAGTAAGAAAATAACAATAACAATAATATATTCAAATCTCCCCTAGCGGCTCGCTTCCCCTTCCATTCAAAAAAAAAAAAAAAAAAATCTTGAACAAATTTGAAACTAAAACATATTCTTCCCCATTCCATCCCATTCCAAGTGCTATAAAGCAATTCCAATTTCCAATGTAAACTATATTGTTGTATCAATATTTTCAATATATATACAACACCATCAACAATAATAAAACAAGAATAAAAATAATAATAATAATAGAATAAAAATGTAGAATTCGTAAAGTTTTTTTTCCACGTTTAATTTTATCTGTTTTGGACATCACACAACACAAGCATATTACTTAGCTCAATAGATAGATAGACAGAGAGACACAGACAGTCAGACAATAGCACATCAATTCCCTGGATATGTTTTTCTCTGTGATGTTTTATTTGGTTTTGAAGCAAAAATGAAATTGAGTAGTAAGAGTATTGAATCAATACTGCACATAAACACAAACACACACACAGGGAGAAAAAACATCAGCCTAAAGCTCTGAAAGTAAAGAAGACAAAAAAAAAGAATTTGAATTGAAAAAATCGTTGAAAAAAAAGCAAAGGAAACCAAATTTTGATTCTCTTTATATTTATTTTGTACATCCATCCATCCACCCATATACATAAGCGAATCTTTTTTCTTCATTATTACTTGATTCTTTCTTGTTGTTGTTGTTGTTGTTGAAACAGATTGACATCAGAAAGCTTCTATGTATGCGTTTATCGTGTGAATATCTCTCTCTCTCTCTCTTTTTGACATTCTGTTACAAAATATATTCTACAAATTTTCTTCTTCCTTTTTTTTTTTTGCTCATTTCTGTGTTCGCATTACCAATAACAGAATACAAACAACAGAATAGGAAACAACGTCAGTGATAGTTTTTTTTCTAGATAGATGACAACAATAAGAATGATCACCAATGATCATGTGGAAAAAGTGAACAAAAATAAATACCCCATTTTCCCTATGATAATACAGTTGGTATTTCTAAAAATATACAGAACAAAACCCAATAGATGTGGGTTATAATTTCTTCTCGTTCTTTTTTTTCACAATTTCAAACAAATTTCAGCAATTTCAACATTATTTTAATATATATTGAGGTAATGATCGTGAAAATAGGGTAATCAAAATTTTTAATATTACAAAATGACAAAACATTATCGTATATTTAGCAACAACAACAACAACAACAACAAGAATAAAATTGCAAAAAAAAATCACAATAAGTCAAAATGTATTGTTGCTATTCTAAATCTATATTTTGTCGTTCATGTGAACACATTGTTGCTTGAAATAAAATGAATGATGATGTATGTATATGCCCTGAGCAATGATATCGTAAATTAAAAAGTTAAAGCTCTAATATAGTGGATAGTTAAAATAGGGAAGGGCTCATTTCCTCTCTATTTTTTTTTCATCCAACTTTTCCAACATGTTCATGTTCAGTATAGAGATAGAGAAAAAAAAGTAAAGGAAAGAACCTAAAAGCAATAATTCATTCTAGAAGAAGAAAATATAAAAAAAAATTGATTATGGAAAAATTTTGTTACGCCATTGGTATTATTATTATTGGACAATATGTGACAACGAACATGGTTGTTTATTTGTTGTCGTTGTTGTTGTTGTTGTTGTTGTGTATTTTGTATATGAGTGTAGTAGTAAGTGTTTATGTACAAATTTCACCATCATCATTATCATGATGATCATTTTTAATTGCATACGCTTTCAGATATGTGTGTACAGATTCGTTTTTTTTTATCATTTCTATTATTCTGCACACAGATGAATAGATCAAGATAGATAAGAAAATGATTCCCGAAACAAGAATTCAATAGTAAAAAAAAACACAACAATAACAATGGGAAAAAAACTAGACATTTTTTATTTTTTTTTTTTTTTTGCCATCAGTAATAATCGACCACCAAAGGCCTCAAATAACAACACAATATGGTTGTTTCGGTCACTATGAATTGGTGACCAATTTGGTGACACATTCCAAACAATTTGGAATTTGTTTATTTTTAGATTGATGGTTTTTCTCGTTCCAATATTTTTTTTTATTATTCTTTTGTTCTGCGCATCATATTCTTTTTTTCGATTCAAGTTTTTTTTCCAGTATAATATTCTGGTATCTATGAAACCAGAATCTAATAGCATAAAGAATTAAAAATACAAATATTGTGGTGGTGTGGTTGGTGATTCTCTCCAAAATGTGGTTGAATGCACACACACATACACACACAACATACGACAAAAGTTTAAAACGAAATTGTTTGAAGCAAGAAATAGAAATTCAAGAAAATAATAAAAAAAAACTCAATTGAAAAAAATCGATCATACCTGCTGTTTGATAATGTTGTTGTTATTGTTATTGTTAGTGGTGGTGGTGGTGGCAGTAGTTTCAATAGATTCAATGATCTTGTGATGATCATTATTACAATCACAATTGATCAAAAATGATTTATTATTATTATTTTCATTTTTTGTCGCCATTTTTTCATCATTTTTACCATCTTTATCATCATCGAAATCATCATTGTCATTTAAGTTTTTTTGTTGTTGTTGTTGTTGTTGTTGAAATGGCGACATTCCACAACGATTATGTTGATGATGATGATGATGACTGTTGTTCATTGTATGATGGTTAACAATAGGCAGCTGCTGCTGCTGCTTCTTTTCATTTGTCGTCATCGTCGTATTAGTAGAAGTAGTTGTTGTTGATGCATCTAACCGATGACAATGCTTATCATCATCATCATCATTATTATTGACCATAAGTACATGATTTTGTTGATAATGTTGGTCATTGTAGCCATTTGGATGATGATGTACAACAGAAGCAATTATTGAACATGAATTTGTTCTCCAATCTTCCGGCGTCTAGAATTGATTTTTTATTTAATTTTGAATTTTTTTTTCAAAAATAGAAAGATTCATCAAATGTAAATAAAGCGATAAATCCATCCACAACGGAAGATCACAGTGGCAATATTATTTTAATGATTAAATTTCATTTTGATTTTTATTTGGCAAAAATTCGAGAGAGAGAGAGAGAGAGAGAGAAAGAGAGAGAAAAAAAATCGAAAGAAAATGAATTAATTTTTTTCTTTTACAATTGTTGTTGTTGTTGACTTTTTTTTTGTTTCGGGGTCATTTTTTTTGAACCCAATTTTTTTGGAATGGAATTTTTTCTCTGATGGTGAATAATAAAAATCGATTCTATTGACATAATCACACACACACACACACACATAATGCACAAAATATTTGTCTTTCAAAATAAAAAGTTTTTTTCCACTTCCTATCCATTGAGGGTAATGTTGAATTTTTTTTTCTGTCTGTGTGTGTGTGTGTGTTTCCCAAACAAACCCTGGTTTTTTTGCATCTATTTTTGGTTTTTTTCATGATTTTATATATATATTTATTTTATATACGGAGAAATAGGAAAAAAAACAAACATACAACATTCACGTTGAACATGGACATATATTATATACTACTTATATATGTGGATAATCAGACTGAGAGAGAAAATTCATTTTTCATTCATTTCTATCATTCACAAACACACTTCCTCAATCAATTCTACATTTCTATATTTTTATATTTTTTTTTTTTAGCCATTTAGTTCCCAGAAAAAAGGTTATTGGAACAAGCTTATTGTCAAGATTTGTAGTGGGCAACAAAAAAAAAAAAAAATAATCTTGAACAAATCTTGACAACGTTTTTTTTTGTTCTTGTTGTTGTCATATGATTTTTTTTCTGAATAAAGAAATGAAATGACAAATATGAATGAATGGATTAGTTTTTTTTCTGATGCAATTATTATTTGTCCATACAAAAATATACACACAATATTTCTGAAATTACGTTAGTTTATTAGAATTAGAATATTATTTATAGTTATATTATCATTAAATATTTAAAAAAAAAAACAAATCACAGTAAACAGTTGCCGAACCAACAAAAATGCTATGGAAAGTGAACGAAAAAAAAAATCAATCAACGAAAAGCAAAATAAAAGAGGAGAAAAATTGACGGAACTAAAAAAAAAAAAAATATCAATCGATAATGATGACATCGATTTCTATTTGATTTTCATTTTCATTTTCTTCATTGTATATACATTCGTCTCATATTCATTCGAATTCTTTCTCTCTCTCTCTTTCTCTCTTACATACACATACAAAATGCATACATAAATGCAAAAACAAATATACAGATTGAAAATCGAAATGTAAAAGTTTGATAATAACATGTACACATTGGTCCTAAAATCATCATCATCATCATTCATTCATTCATTTAATAAATAAATAAACATAGACATCCAATGAAAATGAAATTTAAAAAATGAGAAAATTCAAATAAATATGAATAAATTATCGAATGAGAAAAAAAAATTTCTTTTCTCTCTCTCTCTCTCTCTCTGGCTTTCTCATGGAAAAAAAATCATCAAGATCCAAAGAACAATATTAAAAAAAAATTTCCAATACACACACACACACACAAAAAACAAACAAAACACACATATGCATATATATGAAAAATGATGATGACAATTTTCGATCTGCGTGAATGAAAACAATTTGAATAAATAAATTTGACAATTCAAAAAAAAAAAACAACAACAACGACAACGACAACCATTTGACAATAAATACAACAATGATGATGATGATGATGACAACAGAATATAATGGGAAAAATATACAAGGTAATTCAATTGATAATAATAATAATAATACCGAATAACATTTTTGAATTGTTTATTTATTTGTTTTTCATTGCATTCCGTTGTTGTCATCATCACCATCGTTATTGTCATTCATTCATTTTTTTTTTTTTTTTGCTATAGTATAATGCAGGCTTTATTATTATCATCGTTTTTATATGTTTTTGTTCCATTCTATCTAGTGAAAAAAAAATTCCATAGTTGATCTACTTGTTCTTTTGTCAATTCTTGTTTACACACACACATTCACACACACACACACACATTCACTCACATTTATATTGACATTCTTTTGGGTATATTATTGGATCAAACAGAAAAGAGACAGAGAGAAAGAGAGAGAGAGAATAATCTCAGATCACGTAATCATTGATTGATCAGGAATTGATTCATTTATTCAGGATAAACATATTTATACACATACACTGTATAAACAGAGAATATATAAAAAAAACGGGCCAACAAACTTTTTTCTTTTGGTTTATCATTGCATGATATAAATGCATTTTTATTCTTTCATTCTTGATTGGCCTATCTATTTATATTTATCATTTTTTTTCATACTAGATCAAGATTATTATATGATAATAAAGTCATCCACATGATAATCATTGCCATTGAAATTATTATTTGATGATGATGATGATAATGGAAAAAATGATCTATATAAAAACAACAACAACAACAAAAAACCACAACGACAAAATAATAATCATCAACATAGATGGACAATTCTCACGAACATATACATACATACAGACAGACAGAAAGACATTAATGATGATCAATATTGATTCGAAATGTAACGAAAGGATTGTAAATTATTACCACTGATATAAAATATTCTATAATAGATTTATCAAAGTAAGTGATGGGCTGTGCCCCAATTGATCAAATTATTATCACCATTATCTTATTGATCTAGAATAGAATAGAATCTAATATAAATTTTAAGGAAAATATGTGGTTCTTGATTGATAGGAAAAACAAACGTTCACCACCACCCCTTCCATCAATCTAATATTTGAATCTGATTAATCAATTTATTTTTGTCTATTTTTTTTCTTGTGATTCAATATTAATTTCCATTTTCAATTTACTATTTTTATTTGTTTTTGCTTTTATTTGCTGTCAAATACTCCTCTCTCTCTCAATCTCTTTTTCTCACTTTCTGTAAAATTTGACATTTGAACAACAAAACTTGAAAAAAATGAATGTGTCCATCGCACGAACAAAAAAAAAAAAAAAATTTCAATGGAATAACATTAACATTGATGAACGAAACAGAATCAATTGTTTGTCAATGTTGTTTCAAGACAAACAAATTCAATATATATTGAAAAATAAAATAAAATAAAAAAAAATTCACTCGTCACACTTGAATATTATAAAAACACACACACACACACATACACAAATAGAAAAAAAACAAGAAACAAATGCTAAATGTTCAATAGACATTATTATTGGACAACTGATTGTTTTCGTTGCATGTTTCTGGAACAACAACAACAACAACAACTACGGCGACGATGATGATGACGAAAACGGATACACATGCACAAACGTGAACTTTTTTTTTCATTCACTTCATTTACAAAACAGTAAATGGAATTTATTCAGTCAGTCATTTTATTTTATTTTATTTTATTTTTTCAAATTCACTTGCATTCATACAAATACATAGTCAGAATAGAGAAATAGTAAAAAAAAAAATTCAAACTTGTTCAACAAACATCATTGAATTCAACAACACAACAGCAGGAACAATGAAAAATGTCGACAACAACAACAACCAAAAAAAAAAAAAAAAAAAATAAAAATATCTTTTCCAATAACAAGGGTCCTGAATTGGTGTGACAATCAGAATAAACGATGGATTTTTGACACAAACACGGTCGAATGATCGACCATTCACTGGTTTTTTCTTTCATTCTATTGAATCGTTTGGTTTGTTGATTATAATCATTCGACTTGGCTGAATGAATTTGAATATTTTTCTATATATTTTCTCTTCTCATCGAATACACACACACATCAAACAAGAAGCTTTGACTTCATTAGAAAAATATTCAATGATGAATACAAATATTAACGATAACATTAAAATATTAAAAAGAATGGCAAAAAAAAAAAAAATCTTTTTCTCCTCAATAAAAACAGAATAAAAAATTTTTAAGTGGAACTATTGTCATTTCAATTGTTTAATTATAATAATGTATGTATGTATCTGTGATGTTGTATAAGTGTATGCTTGTTGTGTGTGTGTGTTTGTGAACACTCGTTGATTTATTTACCATTATTATTTCAGAAAAAATTTTGTTTACCATAAACAACAACATTGTTGACAAGGCCAATGAACAGAAAAAATACATTGAAAAGTTGTAAAATGTTTGAATTTTTTGTTTGTTTTTTTTTCACAATTTGTATTCACAATCACATATTTCTTTCACTCGTTGATGTTTGATCATTTTGTCAGCCCGGAAAAGAGGAAAAAAAGGAAATAGTGAATTCATAGAGAGAATTTCCTAAATATATCTATATTCTGTTTGGCCGTAGGGTTTATCGACAACAACAGCAACAACAACAACAACAAAAATGTTTTGATCAATTATTATTGAATTATAACTACATATTGTATATATATGTATTTGTGTTTATAAATTTTTTCTCTTCAGTTCGGTAATCAAAATTTATATAGTGAAACATTCATTATTCAAAAATGGAACACTTTAGAATACATATACATATATACTACTATGACAGAGAAATGAAATATATAAAACATTCAGATCAAATAGATTTGATCAAGAAATGAAAAGTGTGTGTATAAATTGTAACAAATTATGTGTGTTTGAAAATTAATGGGCCGCAATGTTGCTGCATATCAAAACATATAGAATCAAATTGGTATAGTGTAAAATACACCTATCTCAATAGTGTTGTTTTTTTTTATTCCATCCTGGTTTTACTGGTACGTGTAAATATTCTTGAATGCATATTCATGCACACACATACATACACATACACCTACACTGTTGAGATACCCACATTTGGTTATTTATTTTCCCGAATTTTGCAATGAAAACCAAAAAAAAAAAAAAAAAATGAAAATGAAAATAAATTCTCATTGTCTAACAGTATTTTGAAATGATAAAAAAAAATTCTTTCCACATTCGTAATCAAGTGATCGCTGTGTCTGTTGATTTTGTTGATAGTAACCGTGATACGTAGTAGGTAAAATGTTTAGGAATTTATTTTCCTGGTTCATTCACTTTCACTCATTTTTTTCCACTGTATTTGAACGGGGTAATACAATATATATATCAAGTATAATATTTGCAATAATCTAAATTGTTATTTACGAGGAATCAACGATGGAACAAAAAAAAGATCCGACCAATAAAATATTGGTATTGGTAACAAAAATTTTCAGTACTAACAAATTCAAAAACGATAGAATTTTGTTGTTGTTATTGTTGCTGCTGCTGCTGCTGTTAAATGGAGAAAATTCTTTCCTTTTTTTTCGCATGATACATGTATATATATATAATATGAGCATACTCATTGTGAAAAAAAGAACCTAATGCAAATACTTAATGACGATCCATTATAATCGGTCAAAAAACTAACTAGGAAAAGCAAACACACACACACACCCGAATCGATTCGATATCGATTTAATTAATCTTCTACATTCATCAAGAAACACACACACACACACAGAGAGAAAGAGGAAACTTCGTTTCATCTATATATGTGTATTTTTGTGGACCATTTTATCATTATTATTATTTCGAATTATCATCATCGTAAATGAAAAAAATAACTAGATCGATACACATTTATATATTTAACCTGATTAATGTTCTAAATGTAATCGTAGAATTAAAATACCAAACAAACAAAAAAAAAATTCAACAACAAGAACAATTCCTATCCATGCAATAGCGTCATAATGATCATATAATATATAAAATTCTTTCATTTCATTTTTATTTTTTACCTGGGTTGTTTGATCGATCATTGATCGTCCACAATATGTTTTATAATAATTAAAGCCATTGTTATTGTTATTGACATTATTCTCATTATTGCCATCATTGGTCATCATCATTGTTGCTGTACCATTCTTATTATCATCATTATTATCCATATTTGTTGCTGTAAATGTTGTGATCGATAATTGATGTTCATCATTCGTATCATGAATCAATGATGATACGGCTGGTATTCTTGATGATGATGATGATGACGTTGTAGTCGTTGATGATGATGATGATGTTGATAACATTGAAACATTGAATAATGAATCAAAACTTGATGATCGTCGAAGTTTCATCGTTTTATAAATATTAAATCCAAATGAATAAAACGTGTTGTTGTCGTTATGAAATTCGATACAAATATGAATGAATCAATTCAATATTGTATGAAGAAAAAATTTGGGCTGTATAATGAGCAAAAAAAATGAAATTTTGAAAAAAAAGAGTTAAGTAAGTGACAAATACAAGCACACATAACAAGAAAAATATATAGAGGGGAAAAAGAGAAGAATTATCAGTCATTTCAATCGGGTTATTCAAGCAAACCACCTTTATTTTACAAACAAACTAACGAGTAAATGAACCAGAACTTACCGGTTATATATCGTCGAGAAAATATAAAAAAACAACAACAACAACAAAAACGAAAATGGGCGATGATGATGATGATGAAATATTGTGTGTGAACAAGAAAAAAAAATGGATAATAATAATAAACACACACACAGTCAGAGAGATATTAGATAGTCGTAAAAAAAAGTTTTTATTTTTTTTCTATATTTAATGATTATGACGATGATGATGATGATGATGATAATTTGGAAAAGGTTTGTCAACAAATCTTGTCGATAGGACATATATTTTCATTAAAAAAAATCGTAACCGGAATCCGTTGTTGTTTGCGAGAGAAAATTAATTGATTAACTTCATATATATGTATGAAATTGGAATCTGCTTGAATCAAATTTTTCTCTGTGACATGTCTGTGTGTGTGTTTCACTAAATTGACTGATACAATAAATGGACATGAATGATATTGGAATTTAATTCACACAAAACAAAAGTATGTATGTTTTGAAATTCGGAATCTTTGATTTGGTTGAATTCAATACATGGATTTTCACAAAATAAATTTATATATATGTTGGGTGTATGTCTATGTCACGCATTTACATCCAAAAGAAAGAAAGTGAGAGTGAGAGGTATTGACAACATCACAGAGGATTTGATTGTAAATTATGCATCAATATATATGATAATTATGTTTTGAGGTAAATTCTATCAATTATTTTTTAAATCATTCTCTGTATCTGGTTTGAGATTCTGCAATAAATAGCATGTGTGTGTGTGTGTGTGTGTGGATGGAGGGATGGGTGTGTCCACGTACATTATTTTTAGGATAAAGATGTATGTAAAATATGGCCAATGATTTTATATTATATAAATGTTTATGTGAAAAACTTTATGGATTTTTTGAACAAATGATCAATTTACAAAGAAATGTCCAATGTTTTTTTTTCTTTGAAAATTCATTGAAAATCATTGAAACATTGTTATCATTCCGGATGTGTTGTCGATGTTTTTGTGTGTGTGTGTGTATGTGTTTGTGATCATAATCATCGGTATCTGTATTTTTGTATATAAGATGTGTATGAAGATGATGATGGTTGTCGTATGGATGATGTTGAAGTTGTTGATGAAAATAAAAACACAGTGGAACCATAGAAAGACATTGTTGGTTATAATAGATGATGACGAAGATGATGAAGAATAAAAAATGTGCGTGCGTTTTTTTTTTGTGTGTATATGTGTGTATGTATGTATTGATGCCGATTGAATGAATGGCGGCCAATGTAAATGTATACAATGTATATTATCCACATATACATCGAGTTTCAGGAACAGACATCATCCACATCCATTCATTCAGTTGTTGTAATTTCAAAAATGGTCCACACATGCGCTCACATATACACACACACACACACAAATATTTGGAATCATGAACAGAAGAAAAAAATTGAATCCAAATTCTCTATGATCAATAGGAACTTCTGGAACTTTTTTCCCCATTCTCTTTCATCTCAAATCGCTCTTTTCCAATTCTGTTTAGCTCTTTCTCTATCACATATTTTCTCATTTTTTTTCTCTCTTTCTATACATATTCTTTTGCTTTCTCCACTAGATATTTCACGGATATTTTGGGCATATTATCATTATCATCATAGCTCATTGATTTGTAGTGGTAGCATCAAAATATTAATACATAGAATCTGTATGAAGAAAGAAAGAAAAAACAACAAAATTCTAGCCACATACACACACAGACACACACACATATATTACACAAAAACATACAGGCGCAATCACAAGTGGTATGTACCATGCACCCATCATCATCATCATCCACATATACATAGTAATTGTGTTCGAACCGGGTTCGGTTTAGTTAGAGTGAAAGAGAGAGTAAAGGCAAAATGAGAAAAAAAACCATTGCTCCGGATCTCAAATCGAATCGACCAAATGAATGAAAAGTACGAATAAACCCGATACCGATACCGAATCACAAGTAAAAAAATGTATGTGTGTGTGTGTGTTTTTATGTCGTCATCGTTTGGATTCTTTGTTTCATTCACTTTTTTGCGTTTGGTTTTTTTTCTCATTTTCTCCTCCTAAAAGAGTGTTAGAGAAAGGGGGTAAAATAAAATGAGAGAGAGAGAGAGAGATATATGGATGGTGATGATGATAATGTTCGCCTGTTCTTTGCCTTTGGGTCGTCGTCATCTATTTTTTTTTGTGTATATTAGTGAATATACGAGGGTTTCGGATTTTACTTTGGTCTGGTTCATCGATTCGAGTTAGTGTTCATAGCCATCATCATCATCATCATCAACATAGCGGATGTGTGCCATTAATAGAACACCATGAACAAAGAAGAAAGAAAGAGAAAAAGATTGTGAACCTCGAAAATGAAAAAGATGTGAAACCAACACAAAAGCAAAGAATATATCGTACGATAACATTACGATGTATGAGTAGAGAGTATAGTTGTATAAACCCCATATTCTTTCCCTATTTTTTTTCTCATGGATAAAAGTTAGTCCAAGAAGTATTTTTTTTAGTGCAAAAATTATTCTCATTGTATTTACTATGTGTGTGTGTGTATGTAATACATACTATGTATAGAATTGAGCAGTATGGGGAAAAAAACCAGAAGAATTCTTTTTTGAATATTTACATGATGATGATAGGGGTATTTGGAGGTAGAAATGTGACGAAAAAAAAGACAATAGGAAAAAATGTAAACTAAAGCCACCACAACTAAACACCAAAAGCTAAGATGAAATAAAACAAAGAATATGTTAGGATTCGTTGTTGACGATATAAAGACACCATGGAAGGAAGAATTTGAATAATTGTCTGTGTATGTGTGTGTGTGTGTGCAATGTGTAAGTGTAATGGCATATATATGATTGAGGTTGGTGTCATTATTGTTATTATTATCATTATTATTCAAAAAAAAAGAGAAACACATACCACAGATACTCATTGTTCCAAAACACGCACACACACACACACATATAAATGTTATGTATCGGATATTAACCCACTATACTGATTGCTACTATAGCTATTGTGGCCGGAAGGACTTGTCTTTAGGTCGCTATCTGTTTCCAAGTTAATTTACCTTGGAACAAACACACCGTTTTCTTTATGGCCAAAATTAAACACACGTGGATACAAACACAAATTTTAAATATAAAATGGTGGTGAATATTGACGGCAAGCCAGCAAATAAGGTATGATTCATATGATTCATGACCACGTTTTTTCCACATAGTTTCCTCATTTGCCAATTCGTTCAAGAATACTTGAAGAAAACTGTATTCTTATTTTACGATGTCCTTTGAAGGACATTACACATTGCATATACAGAATCTTTTGTATATATAAAATTTAAATGAGAATATCATTATCATCATCATCATGCACAATATTGTTTCTGTTATTGTTTTTTTTTCATTCATATATGACACAAAGAATGAATGAAGAAGTGTGAAAAGTAAAAAAAAAAAAAAAAAAAATAAAAATGTGAATCCAAAATCACTGACTGTGACTGTGAAACAAACAAACAAACGAAAAAAAAGTAAATGCTGTTTTAAATGTGTCTAACCATGTATGTATGTGCCAACAGAAAAAAAACCATAAAGCTGGTCCAAGTAGGATGCCATACACAAATATATACGCTATATGTTTCACTTTGTTTCACATATTATAAATTTTTTTTTCTACTTTTTATCTTTCTTGGTTGATCGTTTGGTATTCACGGAAAATTTTTTATTTTTTATTCATTTCATTGTTATTTCCTATATTTATTCATTCAACAACAACAACAACAACAACAACAACAACAACAAAAAACCGTTAAAAATAGAAAGAAAATTTTTTTTTTTTTTTTTTTCTCTAGCTTGACACTTGCCTGAACTTTTTTTTTTTTCTAACTTCCTTCTGTTTTTTTTTTTGTTCGTTTGGTATTATTTCAACATTCTTGGTAGTAAAAGAGATTTTCTCTTTCTCACTATGTGAGAATATATTTTAGCGTCAACTTCATTGCTATGTTCAAATGAAAAAAAAATAATAAAAAATTTCAATCATCACCACTGGTTCCATAACTAAACATTTGATTTGTAATACATGTATATACATAGAATAAGAATCACATGGTTTTTTTTGATTGAAATTTTATTTTAGATCATTATACTGATGATGATGATGATGATGATGATCAATGAACATCAACAATTCTACAAGCCATACAAATGATGGGCACCAATCAACAACGAACAACAACAAATGTGACAAGCCGTTGCCAAGGAATGTCATTCATTCATTCATTTTTTTTGTTCATAATAAAAGTATATGTTGAGTTATAGTGAAATTTATGAAAAGACAAAAAACAAATGATGTAGATGACAAATTTTTTTGAACAACAAAATGCTTCAACAAACCTGCGATCCAAAATTATTGAAGAAAAAAAAATCATAATAAGTTAAAGCCAATTCATGATTTGTTTTTTTTTCATTATTATAATATAAATGGTTATATGGGTTGAATGGATTTTATTCCAGTAAAAAAATTTTCATAAAAAATATATAAATGTGTAATTCTAGTCATTTACATGCATATGGAAAAATGTTTATGAGTTTCTTTGCCCATTTTCCATTCTCATCATCATCATCATCATCATCATCATCATCAACTATTATAGCTGGTTGTTTCTTTTTCTTCATTTCACTTTAGTTTCTTCTTTGATTTTGGTGGTTGTAGTTGACATATAAAAATAGTGAGAGAGAAAAATATCCATACAAAAAAAA